TCTCTAGCCATGGCTTTCCGGCTTCCCTATATGACCGAACAATAGAAATGTACAACATGCTGATAACGGATTTCCGGCTTTTCATTGTTCAGCCTGCTTTCACGCACCACGTAATGCGTTCAAATCATCTAATAATATTATATGACATATTTTCAATAACAAATCATAATCAATAGATCGATGGCATCTCTTAGTCCAAGGTTGTTAGGTGCCTGGGTCTCGTAATCCATTCGAATACATCACTGGTATCCACAACAACTGGGCACTCAGTATTAGTTTGACTCGTTGATGAAAGAAGTTTATCCACAATACTAAGGAGAATGGGGAACCGAAAATCGTTTTCTTTCATGGCTCCCGAAATTACGGACCGTAGTTAAATTTATTTTCAGTCCTCTTAAAGGGAGTTTTCAAAGAGGATAGACATCACATGGAAATCTATCATTATTTACTGTCCAATAGGCGAAGACTATATAATATTTTGATCTATTTCAGAAAAAATGACAAAAATATCGACGTGCAAATATAAATGTTTGAGAATCAGGGAATAAAAAGTTGAATGTTGAATGGTTAAGATTTTAGAATGAATTATTATTAAGAAAAAACCACCTTAATTCCCAGTCAGTCCGATTCGTTGTTTTTTTCATGTTCAAAACAATTTAATGTTGATTATTTTTCGCTGAATGGAATCAATGTTTTCCTATGTAACGACATTAACAAAAATTGTTAGGTGTCCATTCATCAATTCAAATGTCAACAATGTTCAATCCAAACATTCCTAATTTTATTTCGATTCTATTGTTATTTCTTGATTTTAAATTCCCTTTGATTAGAAAAATTTCATTCAAAAAATTTTGTATTCTATTTTAGGCTTTTGAAATAATTGGTTTTATTCATTGCGAAACAAAATTTAGATACTTAAACAAAAATCATGAAAGAAACTTTTCTAGATCTGAAAAGATTTTTTAAGCGAATTATTTTGCTGAGAAAACAGACAATCTTTGATGGTATATAAAGTAAGTAAGCTACTGAAGATAGATAACATGGCGTTTTGATTCATAATTTCGTTGTATCTGATACACATCAGAATAAAGGATCAAAATTCGTTATGAGACTAATATCATTTTATATGACTTTAATTCATATCATTCATTTTCATAATGCAGAATATTATTATTGGGGCATCCAAGGCGTAACTGGTAACTAGGACTGAAATGTTTACATGGATTAGTCACTGAATTGTGGTAGTAACCAAAATATCATGCTATTCAATCTTGAGCCTTATTCAATTATGATTTTCAATGTGATCATCAAACTAAAAAACAAAATAGATTTTGTCTAAATTTAAATAGCTGAAAGTAATCACCCGGAAGGCGACAATTAAAGTTTCCTGATAATTGGCGTTAATCAATCAGAAATACCTTCAATCTGAAGTCTGACAAAGGGAACCATAATATCAAGATACATGGCCTTACTAGGAATACTTCAATTTGACTGATAGAGTTTTATCAAAACTAAGGCTAAAATAACATGAAATTGGTCACTAATCAGTGATCTTTTAGTGCATACATTTAAGTTCCATTATTATTTGCATACGATACGTTCAGAAAGGTCACTGTTTGATTTCGAAAAACGTGGTATTTTATGGTTTACGTCACAAATTGACTTTAGTTAGACAACGAATAAAAACTGGGGAACACTGGGTAGACTTTTCATCCTAGTATGAAATTCCTTAGCTGTGGGAATCTATGATCCTATAAGGGGTCAAACCCAAGACCTTCAGGACTCATAATTAGAGCTTGGTCCTTAGGCTAAGGAGTTGACATCCAGTAGCTTACAGTTTTAGTTCTAATCAATTCACAATATTACACAAAGATCTCAGAGAAATCCAAAAGTTCTAGGTTCAGTCCCTGGTAGAATCGCAGTTGTGCACTACTAATGAGCTCCAGTGCATCTCGGTTTTCAATGATTGTCTAATTAAAGTTTATTTATGGTGTAAACTAAGAAAGCAGTATTTATTTCATAACGATTTTTTGCTAGAAATATTGTTGATTATAATTTCTACTTTTCTAAAAACAACCTAGCTGAATTTACTTGACAAATCAATGGTTGTGGTTTTTTATTTTCACTTTAGCCAACAAAAAACCAAGAAAAAAAATTGTTTACAGAGTAAAATAAACAAAATACATTGATTGTGTTCACTCGAAAAAAAGCAAAAACGTAGTCAACAATATGCTTAATATTAAAAATTTCTTGTATACAAATTGTCTGTTTTTCTTCTATATAGAAAGTTAGTTATTTGTTAGTGTTTTTACTGAGACAGTTGATGAACAAGAACTTCCAAAATGTGCGATTTTTAGAGGAAATTTTATTTTGTGTATCACACCCGTATATTTATTAGTTTTTCATTATAGTCACGAATCGATAAATATTAGGCCGCTATTGAGAAACTGGAAACACTAAATGGCTGATTTGTCTTCGTATGAGATGACCGTTTTTGAGACCGATTCTAATTTATACCACTTAGTGTTTCTAGCCATTGATTACAATAATAACGCAGAACCTAACCAGGTATTCTGGACCTACGAACAGGACTCAGACTGAGTGTAAATGAACTTATAAACTAATGGGAAGTTTTGGTTTATTTATCCCTAGTTTTCTTCCAATCTACTCTTACACCGAACAACATCTCCTTTCAAAGTAGATGTTTGTACGATAATGATTATATGATAGAAATAAATAAAAGCAACATGAACTATCTCGAATACATAGTCCTTCATTTATATTTTCATAAAATGTTTACAAAGTCTACGGAACACATATCTCTCTGCTTCGTTAATGAATTATAATTTCGCTATTTACGTTAAATATATATGTGTATAGTAAAGGTTTTTAGAGTTAAAATGAATAAATTATTTATAGCAAACAGCTTAGAATTTTCCACTTAATATTATTTGCATGGTTTAATCTTATTAAATTTTTATTCTTAAATCTAATTTATCCCATAGAAGCTTAATTCATTTACAAGACCCAACTAAAGTTATACGTATAAAAGTTGACTTGATTTGTACATGTTTTCCTTGCTAAAGGAGTACATGATATGATGGAATAGTTCAGTGATGAAAACTCCGAAACGATTGTGGTAATGAATTAGTAACTTTACTCATGAAATCGATTTCAAAATAATTGTCCAATTAACTGGTTGAATATAATGAGGAATTTAAATTTGAGATTTATGTACACCAATTCCCATCAAAATGTTCGTTAGGAGTGTCTCATAAAGTTAATGGAAAGACAACTAAGTGATCATAAACATATAAAATCTTACCAATCAGTTTTGAGGAACTTAGATACGGATTTAAATTAACATTATCTAACGCTGTATTTCATATAAGATGAAACAAATGAACTAATATTAGTCTGTAATATCTATCAAAGTATTTTGGTGAATAGTTTCCCTTAGTATCAGTTTTGGAGTTAACTTACTAATCAATTAGATCTGATCAATTATTCTGAATACACTGATAAAAATACTGATTTCGATAGATAATCTAGTCATTTATAACATGGCACTACAAAATAGTTGTTCATATTTTGACTACAATCATTTCGAAGTGACAAGAAAACGTCCCCTATTAATTTTTATATTTACTATTGGTTAAGGGTATATAAGAAACTGTGTACGCTAAAGTTCCGGAAATTTTTAACGTGTGCTGTATTAATGTTCAAAGTATGGGACTATTGCATTTTGTTCCACAGAATAATTTTGAAAGACAAGATCCCATTCTATTACTTGTAATACTTTTATAATATCAACATTAATACACAAAATTTGCTACTCCTTGTTTTAAAATTTATATCTCATCAAAGTGACAGAATTCAGTAAACGTTTTAATACTGATACACGAGGCAGAAGTAGTGACTAATTTTGATAGGTAATTCCCAAAGTTCTAAGGATAAGCCGTGATCGGTGAAATTTGACTATGTTGAGTGTGTGGCAGTGACTCACTGATTGAATTGAGAAATAGTTGAACAGGTTGGGAACGTAGGACATTGGATGTTAATTTGTTGGTCGAAAGGTTAAGCATTCGTTCCGAAACATAAAGATCCTAATTTTGATCATCACTAAAATAGTAAATGTTGACTACCGAGGAGTACCATGCTAGAATGAGGCAGCTGTTCAGTATTTCCTGATTCTCAATTATTGTTTGACTAAGATTAGTCTATGATTGAAACTATGAAATTGAGCAATCTCCACGATATCCTTACACTGATGAAAACCTAGAGATAGTGAATTAAAAGATCCTTATGTAAGACGACTATACCTGGATAGGAGACTAGGCCAAAAGTAGTCTTTACGACTTGTGAAAGGATAACTGCTTCAGGCCAGCCATGCCACTAGTAAACGGAAGTTTTTCATCCATCTGGATAACTTGTCTTTGAGTCGGTTAATCTCCTAGATGCATATACTCTCTAACTTACTGTAAATCTTGAGTCCCAGTACACTTACACATTTATAAGCTTTTTATTTCCATCTCAAACCCTATTCCTAATATTTATTCACTATCATTGTCATTGGTATTACATTATTATACTTCTCATTTGCTTTATGTTAATATAAGAATGACGATTTAAGCTAACGTACATTTATGCCTAGGCCCTTATCTTGCTTATAACTGGTATGATAAGGTAGCCAAATGTGGCATATATCGTTCTATTTCTTTTTACTAAATCTGCAAACAAGTGTGATAGACAAAATATAAGTGAAAGCCCGACATAAAAACAAAAGTGATTTTTTTAAAAACTCTCAAATAATAAAATGAAAAGAAAACCTATAAATATAACAGTACAAGAAAAAAACAACTAAAAAACCCAAGGTATAGGAGATAGGTAAATAAATATTTGTGTGTAGAAAATTTGTTCGACTGTTTACTTATAAAATTCGTATATATATATATATATATATATATATATATATATATATATATATATATATATATATATATATATCAAGCAAAGAATGCATATATATAGACAGATAATGTAAACTTGGAAAGCAAACAAAATGGAGCGGAACGATTAGATACCAGTACTGTTGTCGTTCAATGATCAATAGTTATTTGGATTAGGAAGAAAAACAATTTAAAGGTAGACGAGAACAAACGTAATGACAATGTCGACACGGGGAATGATAAACTAGTAAAGGAGTAAATGAAATGAATAGAACAAAATATCAGTAATAATAATAAATAGACAGATATACTTGTTTATTGGTAGGAAATAAAAACATATTTTGAATGATTACAACAATTATTGTAAAAGAAAGTTTGCAGGTATCTCTGTGAAAAAGGTTATAGTATAAATTTCAAGCTAAAGGCACTTAATTATGTGGATAGAAACGTAAAGAGAACGAGTGGAAGAAAGATTAAGGCACTTGATAAGATAAAATACGAAATGGATGTTGTGCATGTACGTATGTATATATAATCAAGAGGTCACTTGGTAAGATATTATTTCACAGAGTAAATAATAAATGCTTTTTACTTTTTAATTATCAATAATATCATCGTAATTATTTGAACCTATGTCAATGTTAATTTTGAAGAAATTAACAGATTGTCTGTTATGATTATGTGCATTTTATAGATAAGCAACACAATAAATCTGATCATGGAAGTCAGCTTATTTTCTTTATAGTCTAGCCTAGTCTATTTACTTAAAATGATTCAATCATTAATGTAGCCGACCGAGGACGTGAAGATAAATCTATAGCTACCATTTCATTGGCTTGTGATGAAGTTAAAGTTCTTTCTGTTGTTTCAGAAAAATCTGATAAATTTTTATCTGGTAAATCCCATTGTGTTTCATCCGTTATTTGACATGAATCAGTTGGTACATGATTAGATTCATTGTATTCTTGATTAGTTCTATAACTACTGACATTATTATTACTACTATTGCCATTATTATTAGTAGTAGTACTAGTGGTACATTGTCCTACAGTTGAACAAATACCTTGGACAACTGCTTTCATACAAATATCAATTTGTGCAGGAGTTAATTCAGTAAAATTACATCCTAAATTAGACATCGTAGACCAAGTTGATGAGTTCCATCGTGATGAAGAATCAGAACAATTCATACAATGATTATTTATTGGATTTAAAAATGATCGTGTATCATTACTATTATTAAATGGTTGGAAAGGTAAACTATTAGAATTAGATTTATTTGGTAAATTAACTAAGTCAGATGATGGAATAAAATTTCGTAAATTTAAACTTGTTATTTGTGAACTTTGATAGATTTTAGATATTGACTGATTCATAAATTGTGTCGTTGTACAGCACGTATCTGGTATACGAAATACACTTGGAAAATTAACAAGATTAGTAAAATGTTTTGAAGCTGAATTCAATGACTCCACCATTAGATTTGAATCAGTAAGTGATGTGTTATGATTCAAATCATTATTATTACAACTATCCGATATTTGTGAAGTAAACGAATTTTCAGATAAACGAGGATGCATATCACTGTCTGTAGAAGACGATATTGTTGTTCCAGTGGTTATTATTGGACTAGTAAATAATGACTGATTAGATGGTACAGTATTATTTTTTAGTCTCGAATCATTAATTGTTGATAAAATACACTTGGATTGATGACGATTAACAGCACTAACACATGTGAATTGTTTACCGCATATACGACATTGCATTTCTGTAGTGCGCAAATGCATCTGTAAATGAATAATTTTCATGTGATAACGCATACTACTTTTAATCTCATAGATTTTTCCACAAAATTTGCAAACATATAGTTTTCTACCATTAATTTGACGTTCACATTCATCAATTAGAGTATTTAATTTATCAGCACTAGTTAAACGCCATCTTTTTGCATCAACTTGGGATTTATTTGTCAGTATTGTTGTTTGACTTTCATATAGTTCTGCAGAATTATTATTTTGCTGATCTAAAATATCTGAAGATATAGATCCATTTTCAAATTGTTTATCAATGTTTGTTGAAATAGTTTTTCGAATTGTTGAAACTCGATTTTTTAACTGAATTTTAGAAATATTTCCTGTCATATTAATTTGTTTAATGTCATTATCGAACATTTCAGATGTTGTTGTTGTTCCAGGTACTATTACTACTTCTTCTAGATTAGCACATTTATCAGCAATCATAGAATAATTTTCATCTATATCAATTACACTAGATTCATTTGTGATTGGAGAAGAAAGGCATTTATTTGAATAGTTATTTGGACTATGATTTTCATTTACTGGACTAAATTTTTGACAAGAAGAATTAGAAATAGTAGATTCAGTAATGAAATTTCCATCACGATTTGAAGCAATGCCAGAATCACATAGATTTTCATCGCTTTCTTCTTCCTCTTCTTCTTCAATGAGCACTTTAAGTTGTGATTCTTGTTGATCGACTACTTTACAATCACCATTCTAATCAGATGAAATAACAAAGGATCATACTACATACAGATCAAATAAAAATGTGTTAAATGGGGTATTTCTCATCAATAAGCATTCATAGATTTGGACAACAAGTATAATTAAATATAGGATATGGTGACATAAAAGTTACGCACATATAAACTGAAAATTTAAAGCTTCTTAGTTTGTTTTTTCTCTAACAACAGCGAGAGCATCAACTGTTTTGCATCCTAAGGTGTATTTAAAAAATGATAAATAATGGAATACGCTTCAACGAAAGTAAATTGAGAAACAGCTATCGCTTTTTTTTTCAGAATATTTACTTAATTAGTTGATCGATCGGGTAACTCAAAGATCATTAATTACTTTTAATGAACTAACGCATTAATCCAAGGTGTCAGTATATGAAACAGAATAAAAAAGAACATAAAAAACAAAGAAATATTTGAAAAAGAGAGCAAGAAAAACACCAGTTGATGTGTGATAATAAGTTTTTGAAAAGAGAATGCATCACAGTAATGTCAGTAAGGTCAATTTTCAGCTATTATTTTTACTATAGTCAGTCAATAATTTTTAATGTCTTGAGAAATCTAGCCAGAAAGTCTACACATTTTATACATTTCAAGTCATCAGTTAATAATTGTGTTAATCATTTTAATGATTGACTTGAAGAAAATGTTACGCTTGGTTTTATCATTATAAAAATGGAAGTTCAACTGCCGATAACTCGCACTAGGATAGAAACATCTATGATTAAATGTTTGTAACCATTAAAGTAGTTGTACTTCAGTAATTATACTTCAATACCCCACTGTAATACAAAGTGTAGTGATGCGAGACATAATAAAACGTTATTGTGCATTCAGATATTCTATAGGAATCGTAAATGAAGCAGAATTACATGTATCAAAAGATCCGCCTGGATATATGTCATTAAGATAAATTCAACTTCATGCATAAATGAAGCAAACTCTGGAACTACAAGCTACGCACTTTGGCTCCCCAAAAAATAAGCTGTTTTGAGACAATAACACTCCAATATCGTCAACAATCTACGCATTTGAAATGTCTAGTACGCATTAGTACAATAATAAGCATAGTTAATCATATTTTAATCTTAATTTCGGATCCTAAATAGCTGAAGACTTAAAGAAGACAGGAAATACCAAAGTTACTTCCTAAAATTGTAGAACTGAACGTCGACCCAGTCAAACAAAGATATTTTACCACATCAAAGGGCACTTTTTTTATACGTGCTGATATTTTGGAAAGTGAAAACTAGCTTCAGACCATAAAACTGTTTTCAAATAGTTTCTGTTGATTTTTCTCATTCCAAACGATGAAGTTATTGCAGTTAATATAAGGAGTTAACCTTTAGATTTATCTCAGTAGTCTAAAAATCTAGCTCTTACACTCCAGCTTATGAATACAAGCAAGTTTGAGATTCTCGGATTTGAACACGAGTATTACTATCAGGTGCCCAGAGATGACTGAAGAATTTCGCAACTTAGGTCTCGAAACGTCACCAAACATTTAGTAAGAAAATGATGGCCTTTAGTATAAAACGACAAAGTGTATTGAAAAATAAAACGCACGCAATCTGATGAGTTTTTAGTCATGAATAACATTAACAAATCGTCAAACGAATGAGCTAATAAGTACCATTCCAATCAACATAGGCGTCATAAAAAATTCCATTTAGGTTCCTCTTTTAGCCATAGTCATCCACGTTAGTGAACTATTGAGGGAGAACGCTACAACACATTGTCCCCAACTGAACTGGCTGTGTAAGATCATGCTTAATATATATGGTGAAGAGTAAGGAAATATTATATTACAAGCAGTAATACCCAACCCCAAAAGTCGTGGTATAAAGAGGCCCTTGAACTCTTTAGATTATAGGTACTCATTATATTTAAATCAAAAAAATGTTTCTAACTCACTTCAAAATCCTGTAAGACCTATCAATAAAAGGTAACCAGAGTTCAAAAGTAACTAGGTATTTCGGCTTTAAAACTTCCAGGCGAAATTATTAACCTCTCCTTAATTAAACAGAAAATGAGTTGCTATAAAATCTTAGGCTTCAGATAAACAATACAATAGCTGTGTGAGATACAAAGATAAAATTTGCGTACAGATCTGTAGGTTAGTTAAGTGAAAACACCAAAAATCCGAAAGATTATTTCCCATTTGTAAAGTAAAACCACGGTCGATTTCAAATTTACGTTCGAAAACTGTAAGAACCTATATAAACGACTTAACTCACCCCATTTAAAGATTGAGTTTTCATAGAACAAAAGCTCATTGAGGAATCGTTTTTTATCATGGAACGTGGATAAGATGGATACCTACAGAGCGTTTGAAAGCTTTTTAACTCATCAGTTTCCCCTTTAGATGGTTTGCACATACTAAGTATTACATAACTGATTTTTTCCATTAAATGAAATGAAATCTGAAGTGCTGACAGAAGTTCGTTTGATGACAACCTGTTTGCCAATACTGACGCATTTTGAACCTGTGAATTGTGTATATTTAGATTCTCATAACCTTACCATTTTCGTGAATTTTTCCAGATACTCTGTATTTATTTCCTGTCCATCATGCTCCCCGCACACATCATCACTACACGAGCACTTCATAACTCCAAAAATGCACAAATTCTCTGTCCAACCAAGGTCACTAGCAGACATTTCACCGAAGTAAAAAAACAATCCCAACGATCCGGAATATGTTCAATGTCTACAGACCATCTATTAATCCGAGATACACGACAATGTTTTCAGAATGAATAAAAAGTGTTTACTAGCTGAAAATTTTAACTCGAACACATGTAAGTAATCTTATGGAAGACAAACACTTTTACACTTATGGTAGTTGAAAGTGATTCAATTCATGCAACACGAAATTTAAAGGTTTCAAAGCATTGTACATCATTAATTCGAGAAAATAGCATGATATTACAACATATGTTTAATCATTAATCATCCAGTAGCTGTAAGAATACCACACTCAAATTTTATAACACGCTATTCATATCTTGAAAGAAGACTACCTAACAAAAGTGATTGTATGTTGGCTCAAACATTACCTGTCGACATAACAGAACTTGTAAAGGATATGTAGTGACCTACTTTTATCAAGAGAACGCGATGGGTTTAATGGAAACAATCGTTGATATAACCAATTGTACCAGTGATTGTTTTACCGTGATCGTTTGTTTAACTGTGCTAAAGACAGCCATATCACTACTCCATTTCTATCCATTTCTTTCCTGTGGACTGTGACCTTGTACGCTTGTACTCTCGCCCAATAATTCCGCTTGTATTCCTTTTGACACGATCTCGTTATTCGTTCGATACAACGAGATCGCCAACGAAATAAATATGGATACTCTCCATCTTCGCCTTCTGGGTTCTCTGGCACGCGCTTTCTTGTAGTGGTGTTCATTGTCAACCGCGACTCGACACCACGCTAAGGATACTAGCACGTATCTCGAAACTGCCATAAATTCAGTGAAAAGAGGTTGACAATGAAATCACTTACTCTTCAAACTTTCTGGTAGTCTTAGATTGATGCTAATATACGCCTATGGTCAGGCTTTCCTCAAATCATTCTCACCGACTAAAAATTTCATGCTCACTACATCTGAGTCTCTCTGCGATTCTAGATCACAGTAAGAAGCATATTATTTCTATTTCGAGACGAACAAGCAAGAGTGAAAAACTATGTTCCTAAATACAAAAGTAGGTTTTTTGTTGTGGTGTGGGCTATAAAAATCTGTACTAACATTTGATGTAAAATTCAAAACTGAATCTGATCACCAAGCGTTAAAGTTTATTTACCGTCCAATTACATCATTTCGCCGATCATCTGCCATGGTCCTGAGATACAGCATAGATTTCAGTGCCTGTGTTTTCACCAATAAGCATCCAACGACTTGACGCATACCACAGGTATATTTTCTAACACGCTATTCATATCCTGAAAGACAACCATAGAAAAGTGATTGTATGTTGGCTCAAACATCACCTGTCGACATAGCAGAACTTGTAAAGGATACTCGCACGTATTGCGAAACTGTCATAAGTGCAGTGAAAAGAGGTTGGGAATGAAATCACTTACTCTTCAAACTTTTTGGTAGTCTTAGATTGATGCTGATATACGTCGAAAATCGAAAACCGTCCTGCTTGTTTACACGAGCCATCATACAATAAACCTGTCCCGTATACTTGCCCTGTACCTTACGAATCGTGGCAACGTACACATGAGGATTATTGTGGCACATTTTTTTGACTTATATCACACTTCTTTTACTACTGGTTCATATTCCGAGTGGCAAGAAGCAGTACCCACGAACAGTCCCAGCAGAAACTTTACTCCAAAAGTGATGAAGAAGATATGTAGTCTTGGAGCTATACCCAAAGTATTGGTAATGGATAATGGAATCAATTTCACAGGAAAATATTTCAACGGCTGGCTTACTGATATTTAGTGCCGTCATCTGTTCACAGAACCATGACATCCCAAGTTGAATGGTTTAGCAGAAAGTTTGCTGGAATTTTGAAGATTGCTATCACATTAGTGAATCCAAGTACTCCGGACTGGCTAGAAAATTTTATTCAGAATTTCTTTCGTCAGTATAGTAACGAAGAACACTCAAGAACTCATGACAGTTCATATAAACCCTCTAACTGGTCTCAAATAACAAACACATACAGACAGCCGTGTGGCGGACGTGGTGAGTAACTAACAAATATACTGTAAAATTAAGTGTTTCATGTCATTGTAACAATGCAATACAATCTCATACTGGGTACTTCCAATGCGAGTCCTTCTTTATGTCCCATCAAAGTTCTGGGCTTGTTAGTATTAGTGGGTTTCCGTTATTTTATTTCAAACTTACACAGCACCTGCAACAAAATGAGAGATTATCAGACTGTTATTTACTTTTCGTTAGATATATAACAAAAGTCTTTCAGGTGGTTTTACTATCTTTATTCTCAAACGAGCTAAATACTTCAAGCGCGAGAGTCTCACTTTTAAACACACAATCCTGCCAACATTCAGTATAAGGTAATAGGTGATATAGTCCCCACACAAAACTAGGAAGGAAGTAAGCATTCTAGCTTTAATTTTAATGGGTTGTTGGGAAAAGACGTTGGGCCTCTGGGAAAAATAATGAACGACGATAAGCACATACTATTTGTTAAGATATAGACTAAAATGACCTACAAGAACCCTCATCTAAGCCTTAGATGATAGTAGGCCTGTGTGGTTTTCCGAACTGTGATATCTTTCACAAGTTCTTGCTGTGTGACATATATTTGCGTTTATCTCGGGAAACCAGTATATGAGTTCTGCCAAAGGTTTCATTTTGTGATCACCCAGATGCCTACTATGGAGACCTTCAAGAGTAGATTTACGTAATGAAGGAGAAATAATAACACGATCGATTAAACAGAATACCAACAGGAATAGTGGATATTAGGTCCAGCAGGGCTAAATATACGGGAAATCTACGTTTAAGATTCGTACTACGGCCTTCGCCTATAACACTGATTATATGCAGTGGTATTGGTTCCTAACCACAGGATTTTTGAGACATGTGTTCAATACATTGAATTTGTCGTTGGCAATTAAAACAACACACTGTTGTTGAACCATAGCAGCTGAGGAACGTGCTTAGGGTTTTTCAGGATGATAAATGACCTATGAGGATTCACAATCTGCAACAATAGTGAATTGCTTTCCGAAGCACAGCTAATTGTCCTTTCTGAGTTTGCAAATAACCTTGTCCAGAAACAGTAAGTCCACCTAAAGCACAGATTACTGGTCTACCTTCCTCCTGCAAAACCGTACGAATACCCACAGGCGATGCATCAGTGATAAGGACAGAATATACACTAGAAGAGTAAGACCGAAGAATAGCATCAGATTGAATAAACTTGAGAAGACTTCTTAAGTATGGCTCCGCTTCTGCATCTCATTTATATGAGTTGATAGTCAGCACTTCAAATAGGGAGTTGACGAAACTGGAAAAAACGGGATAATACTTAAGTGAACCAAATATTGGATGCCATCCTAAAAGGTTTTTCGGAGATGATACATTTGTGAGTGGAGCTATTCGCCTGGTAAAACCATAACCGTCAACCAAATATCAAAGACATTCAAAGCCAGATAAACAAAATGAACATATGTTTGGATTCACAGCAACGTTCTTTCAAACAGACGATGTAGTATAGCAGTAGTTCGCTCATTATGCGTTAATTTATCAGGACCTTGAATATTATTATCATCTTGATAAACTTTAATACATTTAAGATCACTGACTAAATTATTCATCACATCTTGAAATATAGCTGAAAAACAACTTCAACCAAATGGAAGCCAGTTGCGTATGTATGGTAATTAGAAGTATTTGAATTACCGTATTAACCAGGAACACTCGAAATAGTGCAATTTAAACCAAATAGAACTAGGTGAGCATGAACTAACGTATTGTATTTAGAATTCAAAATCAGACAGACCTCAAGTATGAAAAAATCATTGCTTCATACAATCAGCACAACCGTCACAGCTTAAATTGGAATCTAAGTTTCTGTAATCCATTGAAAGTCTTCACCTTATGTTCATTGTGTGTCTGTCGGATTGTGTTGAATACAGAATCTGTATGATCTAAAATATGGAACGAACTCACCGAGGTCCTGGAATTGTATATGATCAACATATCGGTTGTATACCAAAATCACTGATATCTGGAATTCGAACCATAGATTTTCCAACACTATCCTTCCCCACGAAATAATGTTGGGACCTTATGTCGCAATGTTCTGAACAATTTGACGTCTCGAATTTGCATTATCTTCTCATGTCTCACACCTCGATTATTATATGTGAGTATTTGAGGATACACACTAACGTATAATTTGAGACATTCCTTCTTGTAGCTGTAGTATGGCGCCGAGTCGCGGTTGACTATGATCACCACTACAGGAAGACTACGTGCCAATTACCAGGTCAGATCCCTCCGTAGACCAAATATCAGAAGGCAATCGAAGATTGTAGTAAGATGTATTTGTTGACGATCTCGTGGCATCGAAGTAATACCGACATCGTGCCAAAGTTTACAAGCGTGACTACTGAGCGTACACGAGTCCGTGTAAAGTCCTAGACAACGGAAGAATGTGTGTTATTAGTACACTTAAACAAACAGGTACAGTGAAACAATTACTGTTACAATTGGCTATAATAATAATTGCTCCCACTATACCAATCGCGTTCTCTTTATAAACGTTGGCCACTACAGGAGCCCTTTTTTCGCTAGAAAGGAGCGGTTTCGTTTGCGGAGTTGATCGGCAAACGTGTGATTGTAGGACGAACCTTTTGACAAGCTGGAAGCGATTGTTGATCCACGAGTTGTCACCGAGGGTCTTTTACGTAGAACAGTACCAGGAGAAACGTGCTCTATTTGTTACTCGAGTTAGCGTACCACAGCAGAATGGTTTGTATCCAGAATCTGAGGATTGCGTTCATAGGGTTCCGAGCCAGGATGCGCTGCAGACGTAGGACTGAACCACATCCAGCTAAGAAACCAGAAGCGACCATTACAACCAAGTTCAAGACCAAACATATGCCAGACATATTCGTAGCCAGAAAATCGACTGCTTCGGGAAACCTTACTGTGCT